CTGCCAGTTGATATTTTGCCAAAGAGGTATGCATGTGCCGGGATTGGTGATGGTAAATTCATTATGATCTTTGCTGGTCGCTAGGTTTTTGATCCAAAAATGGCAAATCGCAGATAAGACCAGTGAGGAGGTCTGAATATTAATGCTACTTTGGGAAGAAAGTTTGGAAGCCTGGCCTATTTGACGAGGAACTTCACGGTGGAAGTTGGCTTCTGTTGCAGATATTATGATGTCACTGTATCGAGGCTATGTTTTCATATACACCTTTCGGGACTGTGACATACAATGTCTGCTGAAAGTGATATACAGTATTTCAAATACATATTCTGAGCTGTATGTTTTGAAGAAATAAGGCAAACCTGTAAAACAGCATTAATTAGCCTTTGTAAGGAGTGCGAGTTACATCTTAAGCAATATTCCAGTCACAGTCGGGAACAGCAGAAATTGGCCTGACATGTTTCACAGTTATCATGGGGGAAATTGAACCCATGTCTTCGGCATTTTTAACCTCTACACTATGCTCTGCTTTGTTTGTCAAGTGAATGAGTGAGTTCAGTTTTACGCTGCTTTAGCAGCATTCCAGCTTTTTAGTATTCCAGCAATATCAGGGCAAGGACCACCAGAAATGGGCTTCACATTGTACCCATTTTTGTCAAGAAGTTCTAATGAACAATGATAAATATATATAAGATGTATTAAAATGAAAGGTTATACCCTTTTCTTTGTGACAGATAACACAGCTTTTGAAAATGAACATACGCCAGGATCTGTTATCACTAGGCTTGTACATATCAGGTAATTCAGTGTCAAAAACCAAACATGGATTTATGTTGACAAGCTGATGTTTGTCCCAATATCTGTCCTAAATATCAGTTAATTGTTCCTATTAGTATTCCCAGTTTTTGTTCAGGCTGTTTGTTTGTTTAACACCACAGTCCGCAATATTCCAGCTATATGGTGGCAGTCTGTAAATAATCGAGTCTCAACCAGAAAATCCAGTGATCAACAGCATGAGCATTGATCTACGCAATCGGGATACGATGACGTGTCAACCAAGTCAGCGAGTCTGGCCACCCAATGCTGTTAGTTGCCTCTTATGACAAGTATGGGTTACTGAAGACCACTTCTAACCCGGATCTTCACGAGTATATCTAGAACAGGTAAGGGTTAACTTGTGGGCAGGGTTCAAAGTCTGCAGTCAGGCTACAATGATAGTAGAGCTGCTGTTTAATTAATATGCATGTGGCATTGAACACTAGTATCTCCAGAAAGTATGTTGGTTTACCACACATGCAAGATATAAACCCCACAGGCATCTACACCACTGAAAACCAACGTCTCCAGAAACTGTTGGTTTACCAAACATGCAGGATATAAACCCCACAGGCATCTACACCACTGAAAACCAACGTCTCCAGAAACTGTTGGTTTACTAAACATGCAGGATATAAACCCCACAGGCATCTACACCACTGAAAACCAACGTCTCCAGAAACTGTTGGTTTACTAAACATGCAGTATATAAACCCCACAGGCATCTACACCACTGAAAACCAACGTCTCCAGAAACTGTTGGTTTACTAAACATGCAGGATATAAACCCCACAGGCATCTACACCACTGAAAACCAACGTCTCCAGAAACTGTTGGTTTACCAAACATGCAGGATATAAATTAATCAGGAGTAGACATTCGAGCAATGAATATTATGTACATGTTCAATGCCATTGGGATATGTTCACAGGCCATCAATCAATCAAACCAGTTCTGACCATTCTTCCATCAGCACAAGTTGCCAGGGACCTGTTCTAACATGAATACCTCAATGTTCCCTCCTACAGCCAGAATCTGAGAGTACATTCTACAATTCCCCATGGGTAGATACTATAGACTAGATAGTTAAAGAAGCAGTTTCCTCCCTGAGTTTAGAACATAAGGCCAGCAAAATACTTCAACAACATTTTTTTGCAGACCCTGAACAAATGTATCCATGAAAGCCCATGCAAGTCTGAAATATGTAGCAAGTCTACATTATCACAGTTTCAGTCTGAAAATGAAGAACGTCTTTGGACTCCTTTTCATTATATTTTATGATAATTTAGGAACTGTGTATTTTCTGTAAAATATGTTCATTTCAGAGATGTTAGTCTACAATATCTCTAGCTAGAGTGAGTGAGTGAGTTGGGTTTTATGCCACTTTTAGCAATATTCCTGCAATATCACGGCGGGGGACACCAGACTGACTGAGTTTGGTTTTACGCCGCTTTTAGCAATATTCCAGCAACATCACGGCAGGGGACACCAGAAATGGGCTTCACACATTGTACCCATGTGGGGATTCGAACCCGGGTCTTCGGCGTTGACGAGCCAACGCTTTAACCACTAGGCTACCCAACCGCCCCTCTCTAGCTAGAGCTGATACAAAAACAAACTTCTTTAGTCAAGATAGTTAAATTTACTGTATGATACACTAACAAGTTTGCCATCAGAAAAAACCCAATTCTCATCCATTTGGACCTTAGTTGTGATATTCCACAGTTATTTCAATAATAAACAAATTCATACGGCTTATTGAGCTTTGGTGATAAACAAAATGATTTACCATGTTTGTACTCTCCATCAGCCTTCACACATAATAGAAATATACTTACAAGTAAATTCAATGATCTGCTCTTTTGAAAAAGTTATTGGTCATAATTTGACAACATTCATACAAAAATTCTATTTGATTTTGTTTTTGAGACACAGCAATATTTTGGTGAAGGTCCAACAAGGTGAAGGTCGCTTGTCGTCTGCTGCCATACTTTGTAGCACAAGGTTCTAGTGAGCGTTTGGGAATAATGGCAGTGAGATAAGATGCTTAGGTAAAGCCTAACTGACAGACAGTGGAAGAGCAATTAGCATGCTTCCAGGTGGCGACATCGAGAAAATATAGTGGACATAATAATCTGGAAAACTGACCTTCAGAACCAGCTGTCTAAAACACATACATGTAAGAAAATCTTAAGTGGTTACAAACTGCTAAATGTCTCTAAATTGCAAGATGCATGAAACTTTTGGAAATGATCATCAAGTTCTGACGCTGCAGCTAAAAGCTGATTAAAAGCCACTTTTACTGTGGCCAACATGACATTGGTGATCCTGAAACTGCCAAACCACAAACCAATCAATAAACCGATCCACTAATCTACCAACTCGGAACACATTAGCATTCTAAACTCATCTCAATCCAGTCTTCCATTTTTTAATTTCATTTTTTTATTCAATAGGTATTAGAAGCATGTGTGACTCTTTTCAGGGCTGCCTATTTCACTATGAAAGTAAGCCCCCCGAGGCTGATGAGGCTCCAGACTAGCTGTCTCAAGGGAATCGCAAATTCTGCCACCATTCGAATTGGCTAACTTCAAACATTCTATACTTGAGATTCACAGCTTTAAATGGAATATCATAAAAAGGGCAAGTGTTTGAGAGGAACCTCAAAATATGCGCATGGATCAAAGACGAGGGTCCAACAGACATGGTCCTTCCTGGACCAAAGCAATAATGGACTGCTGAATCTGGAAAGTCTAATTGAAAACAGTAGACAGTAGCAGCAGCAGCATCTATTGGTCCCAATTGATCAGGTTCACTGGTGGGAACAACAGATGGAGAATTGGTCTGCCGGAGTCAAGGAGTCTGTCCTCCTCCTCCACCTCCATCTTGGATTGCTATATATTGACTTCTGTGTTATACAGATTACCACTGTCAACATCACCTTTAACCTTCCCATCACGCAGATCAGGTGTCGTGATGGCCACTTGGTGCAGTACTGGACCTGGCTGAAGTGAAGGGGTTAATGTTCCTGATCAGCTTCTGTTGAAAGTTCAGTCTATGTCACTTTCAGCTTTCCAGCTCTTGAATCAGGCTTTAAATGGTCTTGGTGTGGTCTTTGAATCTGGTATTGCAGAAGTGAAGTGGTTAATGTTCCGAATCGGCTCTGGCTGATGTTGAAGTGTTGCTTCCTTATGGGAGAACACTGGCAGGAGGATACAACCTTGTGGGTGTCTTTCTCCTAACAGGTCTGACCTTGCAGACTGGAACTTGGTTCTCTTGGTGCTCAATTAACTTGTTTTCTCCAATGCCATGTATGCAGATCATGCTGATATATCATGGAATCTACCTTAGACAGACATCAGATGAGCTGTTAGATTATAGAGTTGCTTTCTAAATGTTGTCTGAAAGTGAATGACTGGATTTGGACCAGACAAACCAGTGGTTGCCAGATGACGGCAGGTTGTACCAAGTCTGGACCAAACAAACAAGCCAGACATCACAACCAATGATCCAGATGACAGCAGCCTTGACTGAGTCAAGGCCAGACAAACTGATATCTGACATCCAGGGGTGTATCATGATACTATGGCAACAATGTTTGAACCTGATGCTATTTATAACCAACTGGGTAAACCTAAAGAATCTGCATATGCTATCATATTATCCATGTTTTTTTTCACCATTAGAACTTGTAACGCAATATATGTATCGTGATATCAATCAATCAATCGTTTATTCAGTAGCATGGCCACATAGCCTAGAGTCGGATATCGTGATACAGGGGTTATAAATCTTTGATTTGTATCATTGGCCGTGAATCAGCTCAGAGTGTAATAGTGGAGATATCCATGTTGAACTGCAAAATCAGCTGAATAAAGAATAAAGGCATAGCATTAGCACATGCTAGTACAAGCACATGCACCATGCACGCATGCATATATAGCAAGGACGCATGCATGCATGCCCATGGCATGGATTGAATAACCTAGCTTGTGACATTTAAGCCCATTGCTCCTCACCTGATTACCTTGTTGCACTCAACAATATTCCAGCATTGTTGACAATCCAGTGACTGATGTCAAGAGCATCGTTCTACACAACTGGGGTACCATGACATGCACCAACTGAGACATTCTGATTTAAAACATCCCATAGCACATTGCTGAAATCTAACCCATCACTCTCACCTTCATGTTTCTTCAGCTTCGGTGATACGACAACAACAGGCTTGGGCTCAATTTTCGGGTGGATGAAATAATCTGCTTCTTCACCATAGAGACGATACAGTTGTTGGTGGTGCCATGGCAACGAGTCAAGGTCAGAACTTGTTGCAGATTGGTTCAGGTCAACATCATCGTCATCCTCAACTTCCAACTCTCGCATGGGTGACTTTGGCAATGTGGGCGACCTTGACACATGAGAGCGATGGCGACGACGCTGCTCTGACGTTGGAGTGTGGCGACCGTCATCGGAGCTGCTCTCTCTCGGTGTTCGTCTCTGTTTCGCTGCAGCCTTCCGGTCATCAGCTGTGGGTAAAGGTAGAAGTTGTTAAAGGGAGTGAGTGAGTGAGCATGTAAATGAGTTGGGCTTAACATTTCTTTTAGCAATATTCCATCCATAGTGAAAATGTTGGGGCTATCTTCACTACTGTTAACTGGTAGAACTGTAATAGTATTAACCCAACTTAAAGGCTTCTCAATCATTGTAATACTTAGTTTAGTTTTATGCCACTTTCAGCAATATTCCACAATATCACAGCAGGGGACACCGATATGGGCTTTACACACTGTACCCATGTGGGGAATCGAACCCAGGCCTTAACCACTAGGCTACCCAAGTTTGATTATAAATTCTAACGCATAATGTTAAATTCATAACTAATCATGATTATCTAAACTGCTATGCATACTATCGACAATGCCATTAGCGTTTTCAATTTCTGTTGCTGTAGTGTAATCGTAGGGCAAAGAATTACAAAACATTGATATTCAGTTTATCGTTCCACTCCTCATGTGACTTAAGGAACACCAAAAGACCTGACATACTGTACTAATATGGGGATCCCAGGTCTCCGTCGCAACAAATTACAGCTGTAACCATAGGGCTACCAACTGCTGAAACACTCAGAGAAGGATCAGGACTTTCAGAACAAATATCTTTATCGATTATTAATACACCTTTAGGCCAGACCAATTATATTTCTTGTTTTATGGATCCGCCAGTCATATTTTTTCAAGAATAAGGAAAAAAAATAATAAAATTTCCCTACTCAAAACTAAAATCTTAATGTTTTTATGGGCCTTACAAGAATTTTTTTTGTTGTTGTTTTTGCCCCATATACACTTTATATATTGCCATAAGTAAAATAATTTTGTATTTTAAAGGAATATTACTTTGGTGATTTTTTAACTTTTGTATTTTTCCTCCTGCCTTTAGGTTTTCTGAGGACAAAAATCTGTGAAACAAGAAATAAAATTGGTCTGGCCTTTAAAAAAAACAACGGAAAAAATGAATCACTTGCCAACTCCCCAGAATCAAGTTGTCATGTCTTGTGGACAACGTAATTTGAAATTGTATATCAGTATTGAATATTATTGTAGAGCACAACAAAAATAGTTAAATCCATCTCTAATTCAGACTATATGTTCTCTTTCTAAAAGGAGACAGGAAATTTACAATTCGAGTAAAAAAGGGCTGATCTATCACAGCCAGCAACGCCAGAGGCTATTGTTAATGTTGCACCTGACAAGCTCCTCAAAGGGGTCTCCTGCTGCCTTCACACCTTACGTGCTGTTACCAGTCTGAGTGTGACCGAACGGATTCACTAGAACAGTGCAACAACTCCATCACGCTGTGTCTTCCCAACACAGGACTTGATAAACAGTCTACCCCACAGGGCACTCGACGTTAAAACTCTGAAATATTGCAAACATCAGGGTCTTGTCATAACACCTTATCGGGGAATACTGTGCATTCTTGTTTCGGCGTTGTTCACTGGGTTGGTTAAGTGGCAACATCATGGGCCACTGGGGTTGTTGACGGGGACCATGCCGTCACTGACAAGATAATGTGACATGGTTTAACTCAGTGGTCCTTCCACTTGTGACTTTAGCAATGAGATTGTCGTTGGTCTGTGTTTTATGATATGTGTAGCACTCAGACTGTCGTAGGTCTATGTTAAGGTATGCGAGATATGACTGGCATATCACTCAGATTGTCGTAGGTCTATGTCAGGTATGCGAGATATGACCTGCATATCACTCAGACTGTCGTAGGTCTATGTTAGGTATGCGAGATATGGCCTGCATATCACTCAGACTGTCGTAGGTCTATGTCAGGTATGCGAGATATGACCGGCATATCTCAGACTGTCGGAGGTCTATGTTAAGGTATGCAAGATATGACCTGTGTAGCACTAAGACTGTCGTAGGTCTATGTTACGGTATGCGAGATATCACCGGCATATCACTCAGATTGTCGTAGGTTTATGTTACGGTATGCGAGATATAACCTGCATAGTACTAAAACTGTCGTAGGTCTATGTTAGGTATGCGAGATATGACCTGCATATCACTCAGACTGTCGTAGGTCTATGTTACGGTATGCGAGATATGACCTGCATAGCACTCAGACTGTCGTAGGTCTATGTTAGGTATGCAAGATATGACCTGTGTAGCACTAAGACTGTCGTAGGTCTATGTCTAGGTATGCGAGATATGACCTGTATCACTCAGATTGTCGTAGGTTTATATGCGAGATATGACCTGTGTAGCACTAAGACTGTCGTAGGTCTATGTTAGGTATGCGAGATATGACCTGCATAGCACTAAGACTGTCGTAGGTCTATGTTAGGTATGCGAGATATGACCTGCATATCACTCAGACTGTCGTAGGTCTATGTTAGGTATGCGAGATATGACCTGCATATCACTAAGACTGTCGTAGGTCTATGTTAGGTATGCGAGATATGACCTGCATAGCACTAAGACTGTCGTAGGTCTATGTTAGGTATGCGAGATATGACCTGCGTAGCACTAAGACAGACCAATGACGGAGTTTTATGACGTGTAGCACTAAGACAGACCAATGACAGAGTTTTATGACGTGTAGCACTAAGGCTGTCATAAGTCTATGTAAAAAGGAATTTATGACAAGCATAGGAATAAGAAAGATGTTAATTTATGGGATTTATGATATGCGAAGCAGTAAGACTGTCGTAGGTCTATGTTTGAGCATAGGATTTATGATATGCGTAGCACTAACGCTGTCGTAAGTCAAAGTTGAAGTATGGCTTTCATACATGAGTAACACTAAGGCTATCCTAGGCCTATTGTAAGGTGTGGAACATACGACATTGGTAAATTTTAGACTGTCGTAAATCTATACTAAAGAAAACGGTTTACGATATGCATAGCATATTTGTTAGGAAACACTAAGTGTCAGTGACTTGTTTTGCAGAACAAAGCCTTTAAAAAGTTATGACGAGTTGACATGTCAATTACATACACATGACATAATATCATGCACATGTAATAAATCCTGATATACTTTATAGTCTCTCACACTGGCCTGTATTTCCCAGGCTATTAATTTAAATATTCCTGTTTAATGATTTATTGTACCCAGAGTGAGTCAACGTGTTCTGTTGCTGGGAGATACTGATACAGGGCACAGTAGGACTTCCTCACAGGAGAAGTCTCTCAACTGTCAGCTTATCTCATTGCCTCTGTGACATGATCTTTCTCTTGACAACTAAATATTTCACCTCACTGTCACCAAGTGGCTCCTGGAGAAGTTGATGTTTGGCAACCAGATAGATTCTTTATGGCTGTTGGATAAATACATGTTTGGTAACCAGATAAATTATCAATGGCTCCTGAGAAATAGATGTTTGGCAACCAGATAAATTATCATTGGCTCTTGGAGAAATAAATGTTTGGTAAGATGAATTAGTAATTACTATCTACCAGGTTCAACATATTATTCATGACCTTTACACAACTTTCAAATTGGCTGTTTTGGAGGAACATGCCACATGTATAGAGTTACCTCCCTTAGCATAACCAGGATACATATAATCTTTAACCTCATTGTCTTGTCTGATTTTGACATAAGAATCAGTCACATTAGCTGTGCTTTGTAGAAAAACATGCCTAAAGGGTCTATGCAGAGTTAGCTCCCTTAGCTGTACAAGGATACACTGGGCGTGGTTTAAATAAAGTGGCATCACAGTTGACTTTGCTCCTCTACTGTTACAACTGACATTCATCAGCCACTTACAGTGATTCAGCTATACTGCTGAATGGTTCATCAAGACATTTGTGAGGTAACACATTGTAACTGACACAAAGTCCTGTTGTCATGATATACAAAGAGTTCCACGAGGTTGAGGACATAAACTTACATTCTCTCAAATGACATATCAAAATTTACAGGAGACATTTACTACTCTGGTGAAACCCACAAGCACAGTTTCGAGCTATCTACGCAGGAACCACAATCGGGTGTGAACCGAGATACGAATCTTGGATCAAGGATTACTGGCATGCGGAAAGGACCTGAATGGTGACACTTGCGAGGGAGTGCGGTTATTTGGCACTATATTACAGCTGGAATTGGTAGAAATTTTGACTGACTGAATTTGGTTTTACGCCGCTTTAAGCAATATTCCAGCAACATCACGGCGGGGGACACCAGAAATGGGCTTCACACATTGTACCCATGTGGGGATTCGAACCCGGGTCTTCGGCGTGACGAGCCAACGCTTTAACCACTAGGCTACCCCACTGCCCCAGGTAGAAATTTTGGACCCAGGTACCCGATGTAGCATTATCCAACCCGACCCATCTGATCCGGGATACCCGTACTTAGCTTTATCTAAAGTTAATTGACTTACTTATGGAGCAGTCATGATACCAGAAAAAGTGGCGTTTTGTCACATTTTGAACTAAATTCCATAACTCAGAAAACTAGCTTACTATGAGTGAGTGAGTTTAGTTTTATGCTGCTGGATTGTTCCAGATTCCATTGCTTAAATGTCACTATCAAATACAGTAAAGTATGCTTATAATGAACATACAGGTATAACAAACTGTTGTTTTTTGCTCCAGCCACACGCTGTATGGTGGGTGGTACCAGTTGAAGGTTGGTGGTACAGGTTGGGGGTGGTTGGTGGGTGGTACCAGTTGAAGGTTGGTGGTACAGGTTGGGGGTGGGTGGTACCAGGTGAAGGTTTTTTTGCTCCAGCCACATGCTGTATGTTTAAGTTGAAGTGCACATAAGAAGCTATAATTACTGGTCTCCTCAAATTCATTGTGATCATAGTTACTCAGGTCTCAATTTTAAGAAGTGAGTGAGTGAGTGAGTGAATGAGTGAGTGAGTTTAGTTTTACGACGATAATTTAGCAACATTCCAGCAATATCATGGCGGGAGACACTAGGAATTGGGCTGCACACTTTGTACCCATGTTGGGAATCGGGCTGCACACTTTATGAGCTTAACACTTTGTAGGCTACCCCAAATCAGCACTAGGCTACCCCCAAATCAGCACTAGGCTCTCAAATCAGCACTAGGCTACCCCCAAATCAGCACTAGGCACTACCCCCAAATCAGCACTAGGCTACCCCCAAATCAGCACTAGAAATCAGCACTAGGCTACCCCTAAATCAGCACTAGGCTACCCCCAAATCAGCACTAGGCTACCCCCAAATCAGCACTAGGCTACCCCCAATAATTCCTACAACCACCACTGTCCAAGACGTCTGCCTTCCTCAGCAACAGTCCAGGTACAGAAAGCAAAGCCCTTCCATATGTCAAATCCTCCTCTGTACAAATCTGGCTTCACTTATCTTACATGGCTGAGGAATATCAAAAACATTTCTGCCTTTTTTTCACCAAATATCTGTCCTATTCTCTTTAAGCCGTTGATTACTGAGTGACAGCTGCCCTTGTAGAATCAGATGAACTATTTCGTGAGATATTATCCATCAGCAGTGTCAAAGACACGGATTCTTTTGAAGTGAAAACTTCTCATTTTCACAGTCGATTTCATGTCTGATCACACATGTATTGGGAGCCTGCTAGATTGGTATTTAACTAGGATGTGAATTTGAAATAGTTTAGTCAGGCATTAAGAAGATATTAAAAATTTCCTTTTAACTAGGCACGATATCCATCTACTTCAGACGTAGTGGAGTGGAAAATGTTTTCATGGCCATGTTATCTTATCGTGATTTGTGCTGTATGTGGAATATGTCCACTGAGTGGGTTCAAACTCACAAGAGTGAGTGAATGAGTGAGTTTAGTTTTACGCTAATTTTAGCAATATTTCAGCAATATCACAGTGGGGGACACCAGAAATGGGCTTCACACATTGTACCCATGTGGGGAATCGAACCCGGTTCTTCAGAGTGACGAGCGAACGCTTTAACTACTACGCTACCCCACTGTCCGAGTGAGTGAGTGAGTTTGATGCCAAGTTACAGCACACCAACTTTGCAAGTAATGGGTGGGTGAGAATACCACTTCCTTCTCCTGTATACGACATACCACTGTGACCTGGCACTGTATCTATTTCTACACATACCAAATACCACAGTGAAGTGGTGACACATAATCCCTTTGGATTACCTAAAATATCCCAGTCGCTGTAACACCTGCTTAACTGATTTTCTAAAACTGTAGTAGTTATATAATGATGGTTCTGGACCACTTCCTCTTATAGGCTTATTTCTATGTAATTCCGCTCCCAACGCCTAGTATAAAATAGTGATTTTCGAGCAGAGACATCATTCGATGTACAACCGAGCTTCGCCAGCCTAGACCCATTTTCGCTAGGGCCAGCCATTTTTTCAGCAACTACAAATCAACTACTGACTAGACCTCCACATGCCGAGTGGAGTTTCCTTTATTGGGGGTCTCGGAAACTCCCAACACGTCGAGGTCTAATCAGTGGTTTATGCGCGTGTGTCCGTACGTGTAAGTCATGATGCTGTTGACGGCGATCCACTGTTTGGTATCCATGGGTGACAAGGAGGTCTTGTTGAGAGTGATTCCATAGATGTTGTGTTTATCGCTTCTCAGCGCATTCATTCGGTGTTTGAACGTTTTATTCTTGAACAGAGCTTGTTTGAAGAGGCCGTGCTTGATGTGTTGTTTCACCACGTATTTCTTGACCCCTTCCGGATCTCACCGTTGTCGGCTTTCAGGATGGAATACGGCGTGTCCCCGCGCATTCGTCCTTCATCTTGATGTGTAGGGCGTGGTCTTGGGGGTAATCGCTGGTATCGTACAAGTGTCTGTGTTTCGCCATGTCCTCATACACGTCCTTGGTGCGTATATTCAACAACAAGGAATCGGTGTATCGATGGGTGATGGCGAAGGTTTCATTGGCTTTGGCCAAACTGTCGAGCGACGACAGGAGGAACTGAGCGCTATCGATAAACTGCACAGACGAGCGAGAACGAGATGTATTTTTCCATGTTGTTGGGGATACACTTGATATCAACGCCGACCTTCGAGATGGCCTGCATGATCAGGTGGGCATCGTACTCTCTCACTGATACCTTCACCATTCCCCATCGATACACCAATTCCTTGTTGTTGAGTATACGCACCGAGGGCGTGTATGAGGACATGGCGAAACACAGACACTTGTACGATACCAGCGATTACCCCCAAGACCACGCCCTACACAGCACGACCAATAAAATGGTCCTCTGCAAGATGAAGGACGAATGCGCGGGGACACCCATCGCTGAATACGTCGGATTGAGACCCAAGAATGTATTGAAAGCCAACAACGGTGAGATCCGAAAGGGGTCAAGAAATACATGGTGAAACAACACATCAAGCATGCCCTCTTCAAACAAGCTGTTCAAGAATAAAACGTTCAAACACCAAATGAACGTGCTGAGAAGCAATAAACACAACATCTATGGAATCACTCTCAACAAGACCTCCTTGTCGCCCATGGATACCAAACAGTGGATCGCCGTCAACAGCGTCACGACTTACGTGTACGGACACACGCGCATAAACCACTGATTAGACCTCGACGCGTTGGGAGTTTCCGAGACTCCCAATAAAGGAAACTCCACTCGGCATGTGGAGGTCTAGTCAGTAGTTGATTTGTAGTTGCTGAAAAAATGGCTGGCCCTAGTGAAAATGGGTCTAGGCTGGCGAGCTCGGTTGTACATCGAATGATGTCTCTGCTCGAAAATCACTATTTTATACTAGGCACTGGGAGCGGAATTACGTAGAAATAAGCCTATAAGAGGAAGTGGTCCAGAACCATCATTAAATAACAACTACTGATGATAAGTACCCAATAAATCCCAGTCACTGCTTAACAACTGATACTCTAAAAGTGATGACAAATACTCCACACATCCCACAATGCAACACCTGCTTAACAGCTGACACTCTAAAAGTGATGACAAATACTCCATATATCCCACAATGCAACACTTGCTTAACAACTGATACTCTAAAAATGATGACAACTTCTCCAGACATCCCACAATGCAACACTTGCTTAACAACTGATATTCTAAAATTGATGACAAATACCAACAGATCAAAGCCGAGCATTGCCTGACTGAAATCAATAACAGGAAGTAGACGTCAGCACTTTCAAAGTTGAAAACACAAATACGAACTTCTTTCGCCAGCTTGCACCACCTGGTGGTGAGCAAAACTCCAAGTGTGGTATACATAATATTGAGTTACAGCAAAACCTCTCCCTAAGTGAGTTAAGTTGAATGCTGCAGAAGCCCTATACTTCTCCTCAGCTAGGGAATTGTTCAGCAGAGAGATTTGAAAAGTCGACTTCATTATACAGCGTTCCTGCAACCTTGCTGTAAGATGAAGGCCAGCAAAAACAGAAGACCAATGTGTTGAAATTGGACGCAGACCGGTTTTTCATACCGTCAGACCAAGGGATGGGAGATCAATGCTCTATCTCACGATTGCTGAAGGCTTTTCATTAAATACTATTGATTCTGTTGGCTCGGCATTAAATAGCTGGAAATAATTCAGCTATATTCACGGGAACTAACATAATTCAAATGCATTTTCAGGGCTTACAAAACAGTTGAAGTTACCGTCCAATAACATGTCAAATTAAACACAAAGTATTGCTTGGTTCTGGTAACAAAACTCATTGTAAGTAATCAGATCGAAAATCTTAATTGATACAAGCACTAAACCCACTATTTTACATCTTTGTTGTATGGTAGGATGGTTGGTGGGTGGTACCAGTTGAAGGTTGGTGGTACAGGTTGGGGATGGTTGGTGGGTGGTACCAGTTGAAGGTGGGTGGTACAGGTTGGGGATGGTTGGTGGGTGGTACCAATTGAACGTTGGTGGTACAGGTTGGGGATGGTTGGTGGGTGGTACCAGTTAAAGGTTGGTGGTACAGGTTGGGGATGGTTGGTGGGTGGTACCAGTTGAAGGTTGGTGGTACAGGTTGGAGGTGGGTGGTACCAGTTGAAGGTAAGTGGTACAGATTGGAGGTGGTTGGTACCAGTTGATGGTTGGTGGTACAGGTTAGGGATGGTCGGTGGGTGGTTGGTACACATTGAGGGTGGGTGGTACAGGTTGGGGATGTTTGGTGGGCGGTACCAGTTGAAGGTTGGTGGTACAGGTTGGAGGTGGGTGGTACCAGTTGAAGGTTGGTGGTACAGGTTGGGGATGGGTGGTACCAGTTGAAGGTAGGTGGTACAGGTTGGGGATGGTCGGTGGACGGGTCGGTCGTACACATTGAGGGTGGGTGGTACAGGTTGGGGATGGTCGGTGGGTGGTACCAGTTGAAGGTAGGTGGTACAGGTTGGGGGTGGTTGGTGGGTGGTACCAGTTGAATGTTGGTGGTACAGGTTGGGGATGGTTGGTGGGTGGTAACAGTTGAACGTTGGTGGTACAGGTTGGGGATGGTTGGTGGGTGGTACCAGTTGAAGGTTGGTGGTACAGGTTGGGGATGGTGGGTGGCACACATTGAGGGTGGGTGGTACAGGTTGGGGATGGTCGGTGGGTGGTACCAGTTGAAGGTTGGTGGTACAGGTTGGGGATGGTTGGTGGGTGGTCCCAGTTTAAGGTTGGTGGTACAGGTTGGGGATGGTTGGTGGGTGGTACCAGTTTAAGGTTGGTGGTACAGGCTGGGGATGGGTTGTGGTACAGGCTGGGGATGGTCAATGGGTGGTACCAGTTGAAGGTTGGTGGTACAGGTTGGGGATGGTCAATGGGTGGTAACAGTTGAAGGTTGGTGGTACAGGTTGGGGATGGTTGGTGGGTGGTACCAGTTGAAGGTTGGTGGTACAGGTTGGGGATGGTTGGTGGGTGTACCAGTTGAAGGTTGGTGGTACAGGTTGACCAAGTCTAGCCAAGCTTCTGGTAAAAGAACATCTAAAGTCTCTGATTCAATGGTGTTTGTCCTCTGGGTGAATGTAGTAAAGTAATCTTTAAATATTCTTCCACCAATAGTCACTTCATGCAACAATCGCCTCCAGTTGTATCCCGAGATTTACATAAACCATGGGCCGTGGGAGTCCAGTGTGAGAAGGGCCGTTTGTGTAAACTGTTACACTATATTCACAGACATGCTTTTCATGGACCTCGAGTATTTGAGTCGCAGAACCATCATATCCATTCAACAGGAGTTAAAGAACACTTCTTTTCATAGGACTATTGATAATCTGTCATGGCTGTTGGGTTTTGCAGCACAGAGCTTTCCAGTTGTGGGTGTTCCATAATTTGTTATGAGTGGTATATCGTCCTGTCACTTGTCCTCCTGGAGTGAGTGAATGAGTTTGGTCTTACGCCGCTTTTAATAATATTCCAGCAATACCACGGCGGAAACACCAGAAATGGGCTTCACAAATTGTGCCCATGTGGGGAATGGAACCAGGGTCTTTCGGCGTGATGAGTGAACGCTTTAACCATTCGGCTACCCCACCGCCCCAGACCGGTGTTCACATTAAGGGGGATCCTTGAGTTTTGCACCTGTAGCATTTGAGTGAGTGAGTTTATTTTTACACCACCCTCAGCAATATTTCAACTATATGGCGGCGGTCTGTAAATAATCAACAGCATGAGCGTCGATCTACGCAATTGGGATACGATGACATGTGACAACCAAATCAGCGAGCCTGACCACCTGATCCCATTAATCGCCTCTTATGACAAATATGCGTTACTGAAGATCAATTCTAACCCAGACCTTTACGAGTTGTAGCATTTGACACTCCAACTTTTGAATTTTCAATATTATAGCTGAGTGAGTGAGTGAGTTGACTTTTTACGATACTTCTAGCAATATTCCAGCAATATCACGACAGGGGACACCAGAAATGGGTGTCTCACATTGTACCCATGTGGGGAATCAAACTCGGGTCTTCGGCGTGACGAGTTAACGCTTTAACCACTGGGCTACCCCACTAACCCTATTATAGCTGTGACAAGGACCCTTTGACACTGACCATATATAACAGACATTAGTACAACTTAGCATGAGTCATAATAAACCAAACATCCTTGCTCCTACATTTGCTGAGGCAGCAATTTGCTGCTTTCTTATTCTCAAATGACAAAAATGATCATATTTCTGTATTAATATATGGATGATCATACAGAATAAACATCTTTTATAAATATATTAAACTGCCGTGAGGGAAGGAGTAGACACTGTGTCTCTTACTGTCTAGAAAACCAAACAGACTGTGTAGAGGGAGGGCAACCTGTTGATAGAACAGCAAAAAAGGTTGCTTTGTAGAAGTGATCAGTTCACAGAAGTCCTCTCTTTAGGACGCCTTTTGCTGTTTCATCAACTGGACATCCTCCCCTTGCTTCTGATTTAACCATACAGTGGTGTGACTGTTGATTCATTGTGTAAGCTGAGCAGTTTTAGCTAACAGGAGGTGGTCAAATAAAGTGGTACAAATCTGTACTACTTCAGCAACCCATGCTTGTCGTGAGAGGTGACTAACGGGATCGGGTGGTCAGGCTCGCTGAGATGGTTGTTACATGTCATTGTATCCTAATTGCATATAATGATGCTCATGAG